TAACCGCTTAAAAAGTGTGAGGATGTCAACTTGAACGAACATTTCCGTAGTAAAAGGTACAACTGGGGTTGGGGCATTTTGATATCTAGATGAACCATAGAAAGAGAAATACAATGTAAAGCAAATTTATCAAGATTATGTTCATGGCAAACCTTTACGGCAAGCTCGAATAAACATCTCTTATACACACTGGTTGTTTAACTTTTATTCAAAATAGAGTCGCTTTCTATTTATATTTAAATTCCGGATAGCAGTCTATGCGAAAGACATCGGACCGTCGGTCCTGACCGATGTGCAATGCCTCTGGTCCGATGCATCATTTATTTACACCGGACCGGAATGTCCGATGTCTGCTTGAAAAAATTCGGACAGATAAAGCAGAGAGCTACAGATCCAAGCGTTGTAAAAACCTTCGATTTACGCCGACGATTTTTTGTCGCTCACTTCGTGTATTTTGTTAGTATCTTATACATTCCCCAGCTTAAAAAAATATATATATGCCGCAAGAGTTATCGCTCTTAGTAGTCACTATATTCAAGCGAATTAAAAGGTTTGTTTTTTAATTTTTGTTCAAAAAACACAGTTTTATAAATAAAATTTATCATAAATTGTCATAAAATGACCATTAGAATATAATTCAAGGGGCATTTCGGTAGTTTTAGGGGGCATTTCGGTAATTTCCAGGGGCATTTCGGTAAATCAGGGGCATTTCGGTAATTCGGGGTACCCTCTCAGAGTAAAAAATAAATGTTGCCGACATCGCTGACAAAAAATAAAAGTCATACTTTAATTTTATTACCAAATCCAAGTGCAAATAGCTTTCAAGTTGTGATGAATGTTTATTACATCGAAGGAAGCACTGCCATATTTTTTTTTCCGCCATTGAATATAGGGTCAGACTAATAACAGGAAACGGACAATAATACGATGTTTTACTACACAAAGGAAAACATTTTAAGTGTAGACAATATGTAGTAATCATTACTATAATCAAGAATAACAAGTCTAGTCTGGATATCTACTTTAAAACTTGTAATCCCAAGAAATAAATAAATGTAATGAAAGGTGGGACTAATATCAGTAATATACCCATTGACTGGAATTTTTAAAGAAATATTTTCCCATTCTGTTTCAATATATTGATTTTGTGTAAAGTAATGAAATATTTATTTCCACTTTTTTAATAAACATTTTTGAATATTATATGTAATTAGGTATATGATTTTATTTTGTAAAAACCTGACTGAAATTTGAATAAGTTTAATAAGTTTAACTTCTATGATTATTAATCGATTATAACTGATAATCATTTTCCATCACTAATTTTCGTGTGTTTCATTTGTTTACATTAGGTTTTTCGGTCTGACAAAATTTGATTCGGTCCTGTGTGTTGATTGGCTACATAGGACCGAATGTCCTGTGTGGTAGAAAAAACTTTCTCATAGACTGGGATAGACAAAGTTGTAAAACTTTCATGTGGTAGATATAATGCAGAATTTTTGCATTCAATGAAGTTAAATTTTGTTTGCTTGCGGTACATATGTGTGTATGTTTTTTTTTTTTTGCGGGGGGGGGGGGGGGGGGGGGAGGGTGTATATGAATGACCCCATAAAAAATGAGTTTGTTTTCCCGCTCATCGGAAAGGTCCGAGAAGTTCTAATTAATAGGTGTGTCCAGCTTTTTGTCTCCAAAATATATATAAGTTATAATAAATCATTTTTTTAATGTGGCTGTGAGCCCCTATACAGACCCGAAACTGTCACTCGATCCCCCTCTCATGATTGCGAATTCGACACTGCGTGCATAATCTGAATATTATCATAACTAACTATTTTTGTCTTTAGTTACAGACATTGAAAAATTGAAAGAGGAGGTGGGGGTTCAATAAAAAAATTCCAACATACAAAAAATTTGATGAGCAAAAAAAAAAAAAAGCAAAAGGTGGGGATATGTTTTTGCCCAAACACGAAAATCCTATTTCGTGTGTGTGTATATGGGGGGGGGGGTCCAATTTCTTTCAGTACCATTTTTCCATGGAGGGTTTACAATACATTTTTATTAGAAATGACTTTTACAAAAAGAATTCTGCTCTTTTATCTGATTTATATCGAATCTTTGTTATTTGTTTGACAAAAATTTTCCTTTTTCCGTTCCGTTCAGCTTTCCGTTCCATTTTCCCTTCCGCGTATTAGCAACACCCTCCCCAAACCAAGCAATTTTAAGTCAATAAAGTGCCTAGCTTGGCCCTATAAATTAGCCATATCAACTACGCAAATAATCTAATAAATAGGTAGGCCTAATGACGGTAGGTATTCATAATATGCCAGGGCTACCAACTCACAATTTCATTCAAAAAGCTAAGCCTAGACGCCAAATCAAATTAAAAACATTCGATAATTGTGAAAATACAAACATTCTTTCATCTCAAGTCAAAAATAACAGCAAGTGTCTCGAAACAACATCTACGAAAATTAACCAATACCGCTCATCATTCTTTGTGGACACAGTCATCAAATGGAACCAGCTGGAGGACAATTTAGTTTGCGCTAAGTCCGTCGAGGCCTTCAAGACCGCCCTCGACAGCTTGTGTCATTAAATCCGACACGCGCTCTCTCACCGTCGTAGAAAAGCCAGTATTGGTCAGACGACATGGTTATTTTTGCTGAATCTCCAGAAGGCTTACAAAAAATGTTAAACACACTGTACAATTATACTGAAGAATGGAGCCTTTCTGTTAATGTAACAAAAACAAAGATTGTTGTCTTTAGAAATGGGGGTAAATTACGTAATAACGAATCCTGGTTCTATAATAATGCTGAATTAGAAATTGTGAATGAATTTAAATATCTAGGTATTTTATTTAACTTTAATGGGAAATTTTTAAAAACGCAGAAGCATGCTGCTGAACAAGGAAGAAAAGCTATGTTTGCTATTTCAAGTAAATTAAAGAGGTATGAATTTAATGTAGAAACTCTATGTTCAATTTTTGATACATATGTATGTAGCGTATTACTTTATGGAACTGAGATATGGGGTTTTCATAGATGTTCTGACGTAGAAAAGGTACATTTAAATTTCTGTAAAAATACTCTAGGTGTGGGGAAGAAAACTTCAAACAGTTTGATTTATTCAGAGCTCGGGCGTTTTCCATTAGCAGTTACAATGAAATTAAGAATTTTCAAATATTGGATCAAACTGAGAACAACTGAAAATTGCATTCTTAAGTCCTGTTATGAAAGCATGGTATTACATAATGACAAATGGATTTTACAAATTAAAAAAGAATTGTCCCTCTTAGGTCTAGGTCAACTTTGGACAGAAGATAATTTAAATGATAGATCTTATCTCATTATAAAACAACGACTGTTAGATGTTTCTAGGCAAGCTATATTAGAAAATATATCAAACTCTTCAAAGTGTAATTTATATCAACATTTAATTGACAATTTCTGTTTGCAATGGTATTTAACAAAACCTATTGACAAAAAATTAAGACAGCTATTAACAAAATTCAGGCTATCTAATCACACGTTGAATATTGAAACAGGTCGACACCATAACGTACCTAAAAATAATAGATTATGTACATGTTGTAATCTCCATGATATAGAAGATGAATTTCATTTTATTTTGAAATGTCCATTGTATATTGATATAAGAAAGAAATTTTTGAAAAAGTATTATTATACTAGGCCTAGTGTCTTTAAATTAATTCAGCTGTTAAGTTCTCATAATATTAAAGATCTCGTAAATTTGGGCAAATTTTTGAACGCAGCAACAATGTTAAGAAAAAATAAAATTGATGTATAGAATTATTCCCATGTATGTGTTCTTTACGTTCACTCTCTCTGTATGTTTTTTCTTTTTGTTATTATCATGTTTGTTGTATAACTCTGATGGGCCAGTTGGCTTAAAGAAATAAAGAAACTAAACTTCGACGTATATACAGATAGTGAGATACAGATGAACTAAGACCCAAACGTTAACAGGTCCGGCACAATGTCTTGATTAAGCTATATAGCTTGATTTAGCTATATAGCTTTATCAAGCTATTCGGAATAGCTTGATTAAGCTATTTTATCACACTTTTTTCTAAGATGTATTATGTTTTTAGCATGTGCAAAAAGTCGCACCTTGGTGCAGTGGGAATATTAAACTTTGAACTCTTCTGAATACAATGCATGTAAAAATCACTCAACTAATTGCGTCTCCTTGAGAGACTTTGTACTCAAATTTTTAAAAGTTTGGGGGCTATTGATGAGTGACCACACAGTTATTTCTTGAATGAAATTATAAAGGAGGTCAGTTATGGCCAACAGGATAATTGATTGGTAACAGTTCAACACAATGAGAAGCAATCATACTTATCCACGCCTCACCGCACTCAATATGATAGTGCAGTTACCCAAACAATGGAAATTCATCTTTTGCTTAAAAGTATTCAACAACAGCAAAGTTAGAACTTTCTATGATTTAGGTTGTATATTTGATAGCCCAAAGTACATATATGAATAGTCAAATACTTGCGACTTTTTGTGTATTTCTTACTAAAAATGTTTTGCTAAAAACCGCATATAAATAGCTTAATTAAGCTACTTTAGGTAGCTTAATTAAGCTATATAGCTTTTTAAAGCTATATAGCTTAATCAAGATATTGTGCTGGACCTGGTTAACATGCAATCGGAGATTCTTCTGACTCTAACGAAACATTTTAATTATGACATGTGCATGAGGCACAGGTACTTGTTTCGTATACAGTAATGAAAAGGCGTTGCCCTATATACAAAACAAGTGTCTGTGAGGTGAGGTGTCGAATTATTTACAGATCTAGTATGGCTAAAAACAACACATGATCACAGTTTGCTCGTGCTTTAAAACCTTATTATGATAAATGAAAAATTCAACTGGAGACCGTCTAAGATTTCAAACATGACAATTAACTTAAATTTACTAATAGTAATTTAACATATTATAGATAAAGTATCGTGTATCGGTAGTACCTTGCCCCTGGGAGACTGCAAATTCCGCCATGTTGAATTGAATTGAAGATGAAAAAACTCCTCTCAGAAGAAGATTTTAAAAGAATATCTGGATATGTTGATCAAGAGACATATACGATGGAGATTACGAATACCGAAGCAACTGTTCACCGTGGAGGCCAACAATTCCGTGCCCCATTCCAACTGAATACAGTAGAGGGCATCGCAGACTCACGAACATTCCAAATCGTCAGTCTTGTTGTTGAGTGCGTATTTTTCGTCCTGGGTGTCATCGGGTTTAAGGTCGCCGTTAGCGAATCTTTGCTGAACAGGATCATTGAAGATGTCGAACCATTAGTACGAACGCCCGCATTTACACGATATGTAAATGAATTTATCGAGACCTGGGGTAAGGGAGGTGCTTGGAATAAAGCAAAAGCCATTTTCAAACTTATAAAAGAAACCAACTCAGCTGGAGTTTTCATGAAGATCGTTAAATTGGCTTTCAAGGACATGCCATGGTATGATAAAGCCATCACTATAGCGGCCATAGCTGCCCAGATTGCTGCTGCCGTTGCCACGGATGGCGTTGCCCTGATTGCCAAACTTGCTCTCAGCGTTAATGATGCATACAACATTACGAAGAAAGTAATAAACCTGACCAAAATGAACGAAATGCATGCAGCTTTCAGCAAATAATATGCTGGATTTTGAAAGACAATCGATATGACGGTTTTTGTATTTTATCACGTTTTTCTGATGAAGCATTTATTATAATATTTCTAGATACACACACAATTTGTATTTATGTTATTTTTCTGATGTATTTAATGTATTAGTAATGTATTAATATAAATAAACGAATTGAAACGAATTGCTGACTTTTGATATTAGAAGCATATAGGTCTTGGTTGTGTGACACTGCAATTGATCTTTGTAAGTCTCTATTTGGCACGTTAAACACTATACAATCAATCATTCAATGTATTAGTCAGGTGGCAAAAACACTACAGTTTAAAAGAATGAGTGACAATTTAAGCTGATTAAGAAATGAATTCAATTTTTGGAGATTCATGATGTTATGAACTACGACGCTTCACGCGACCGGCATGTTTCATGAAGCGTGTTTACTTAGCACTTCATGATAAATATGCTGGCGAGAAGCGCTGTATAGTTCATATACCTCATGGATATTCAAAAAATTAAAATCATTTCTTATATTAACATTATTTTTCTGATGAGTTGCAAGACATTACACCATTCAACTGTCATTTTATTGCTAGTAAGAAAATAGTTTGTACTATAGTTTTGACGTCAAATACTGTATTATTACCTCACAATGGAACTTTTTTTGCTGTTCCATGGCAATTCAGGATAAAAACGAATAGTCCAATAATTTGCAAAGAATCTTACTTTTGCAAGCGCTCGCCAAAATTACTATTGGAGGTATAAGGATTTTTTGGCGAGCGCTTGCGAACGTTGGCTCTGCTGAATAGGCCTCTGGTGATATATGATTAGGCCAAAAAGAAGTTTCTATCATATCATAAACATGACTACCCACTATAATTCCTTTATCGAATTTTTAAGTTAAGCAGTTATAATATTTTATTTAAGTTATATTCTATTCACTAATTACATGTATGTATAAATGCTGAAAATCAACATATCTCTAATTACTAAAAAGACTTTTTACAGAAAAAAAACCAGATTTAAGTCTGAGATATTCAGGTCAAAGATCAGTCATAAGAAGGCATTTTTTTCTCATTCTTCTTATTTCTAATTCTTCCGTTATCATCACATATTGTATACTTAATTAATAAATTAAAAATAAGAATAGATGAAAAAAGAGGCCAATAAGCTTAAAGGCTTGCTGTACCTTCTGTGACCCCAACTTTTCCGCGGGGAATTGGGTCATTTTTTGAACAATATATGATGCATATACTACCCCAGGATGCTTCCACTAAAACTTGGGCTTTTTTGGTCTAGTT